ACCACAGGGCGAGTTACGAAAAAATAACGTTTCAAGACAATAAGAATTTATTAGCTTGCGGATTTAATTATCTTAATTTTGTATCAAACACATTACTGAATTTTAATTACCAGAAAATTTTATGATCCATCGACTCCTTTCTTACATTTTTAAGCCGTTATGAGTCTCATCCCGCAAGTGTCGTAAGGACTCTCAGACGGGTGTCAGAAAGTAAAGTAAAGTAAAGTTACAGCCTATGTATGTCCCCACAGCTGGGCACAGGCCTCCTTTAATTTTTGAGAGGGTTTTAGGGCAAGGAAGTGTCGGCGTGTGAAATGCGTGTTGGCGAACTTCACATGTATTCGAAATATTTTTTTATTATTTCTCAGACATGCGGGTTTCCTCACCATGTTTTCCTTAACCACCGAGCAAGTGGTAATTCAGCACTTAAAATCGCAATTAACAATTTCATGGATGCCGGCGGGAATCAAAACCGGTTTGCTCGCGTACTGTGAAATATACAGCAAGCGCTAACCATCAGAGCTACTACGGCACTTGAAAGGTGGCTCAATACCCATTTAAAAGATTTCAGATCTAAAATATCCATGATGTTGGTGAACAGTGGTCGCAGTGTAAAAGTATACACTACACCATGTCGCCCCGTGGGTATCGTAAGAGGCAACAGCACGAAAGAAACCAGGAGATTGACAAGACAATTTAGTTTAACGCTATTCCTTTCACTAGTCGATGAAATTGTAAATATTTTCTATGTAACATTCCTTAAGTGAACATTACTGTGACAATCGGCTTATGACGTCCAAAACATAAGTTCACACAAATCTTTTTCCCCCTGTTTCGCTTTGCAGACACTCGTATGCCTTATTTTTCTATGAATAAGGTTTAAAATTGAACGAAGCATAACCCGACCCGTAAGTTAAATGTAACGTCTGGAATGTGATGTGATGCTTGACAAATAAATACCTTCAGAACGGGGGCACTGAAATATTTGTAGACAGGTGTTGTTTGAAAAGAGATCTTAATTCAAAGACATTAAATCCGATTTAAATTGTAATTGGGAAATAAATTTTACTTCGGAAGTACCGTGTCACTCTCTGTATTTCAAATAGCCTAATACCACAAATAACAATTTCATACTGTTGAATAATATGACTTATTAGGATAGACTTACTAGTCTAGTATATTTTTATACGTGGTGGAGCCACGCAGAAACTATATATTGATAGTAGCACAAATTGGTCGACTTAACCGGGTTAGGACCACGCTCTCACGGAATACCAGCGAGAAGCTGTAGAATAATGCTGTGTTTCGTATGATGAGCGTAGAGAACCGTATACCTTTTTAATTGTACCGAAGCATTCCATGTTAGTCCTCAAGGGTGACAACACATCAGCATTTTGATACATAATTGTGGATAGATGTAGATTGTCTATGGGCAATAGAATCCACTTACCATCAGGTCCTTATTTATCACCCTATAAAAATAAATCTTAATGAGACAACTTAATAAATCCGCTTATTAATTATAGCAGTGACCGGCCTGTCATTTAGAGTCTCTTTGTCTTTCCCTAATGTCTATTCCTCAAAAAGTGAAGACTATTTTGGTGACATTATGCTGATCATTTTGTCAGTCTTTAGCTTCATAAGCTCATGCCGCCATCTCTATTCTGCTATCGGAGTACCAGATGTACTGCAAGTTAACTACACTAAGCGCTATACTAAGTCATCTTGCATAATGCGCACAGCCATGGAGTGGAATGACCTGACGGCGTCTGTTTTTCCGAGTTCATATAATCTTAACCTCTTCAAAGTGCCAGGCTTCTCCTGGGGAAACTCGCTTCATTGTAGACCTCATGTTTGCCCTCGGCTCAGATGAAGGTCAAGAGTGAGCCCGTTTTTAATAAAAAAAGAAAGATATCTTTTCCCTCGGCCAAAAATTAAGAATTTTTCTTTGGATAAAATTGGCGAGTCGATGTGTAAATAATTCGCGAGGGGGTATAAACGTCAGAGTGCATCTGACAGCCGATTGATAGTATTAACTGTGGCCGGATTATGACTCCGTGGGTCCTCTGGGGCCCGCTGGGGTTACAACGCGCGGGGGTGTTGGGCTAAAACACTTAAGTGAAATTGTAAATATTGTTACTTTCGCCGATTAGAACACATTAAAAGTACTCTAAAAAGCATTTAAAATAAAAATTAGTGCCGATTTAAACATTTAAAAAGAATTTTGTAAAAATAATATATTTATATGTATATGTAGATGGATTATCGGCAATACTGTCCAGTTACCATCGGGTTTACTGTATGTCTGTTTGTTATATTTATATAAGAAAAATCTTGAAAACAGATAATAAGACTCGCTTTATTTGAGATCCTTGGTTTACATAAACCGGAATCGAAGTGAGTTTAAAAATATACATATTGGTTGTTACTCTGCGTATTTAAAACCAGTTTCCACATATTTTAACCGTAGTTGTAGTAGTATTTTAACATAATGAAGATTTTAAATTAATTATTTATAAAAGAAACTCAAGGTGTATGACGTCGAAACAATGCTCCTATGTTCTGAGTTTCCGTCGTTTTTATTAGGAAAATTCAAAAGAATATTATAAAAGGAGGAATGATGCATTCAGGTGTAACAAAGGGAACAAGCTCTCTTTACATGAATGAGAATAAGTTAAAAAAGGGGACTACTGATTACCGTACAATACTTTTGATTTTTTTGACTGTCTCTTTGATCTAGACTCCGTAACTGTTGATCACGATGTTCGCTGCTGGGTTCGGATCCCGGGTCAAGCCAAATTCGTCTAGTCCAAATTAGTTTTTTCTGTCAAGAAATTCTCAGTAGCAGACAAGTGTCAGGAAGTTGGCAGTGTTCCAACTGCGTGCCTCGGAAAGCACGTATAAGGCCTTTGGTCTCTCTCGCCAACCTGAACTCTGTCAAGTTGTGTCGGATTACCGACTAAGAGAGAGATTACAGTGTATTTATGTGAACTGTACTGTAATCCTGTCTTGACACTACGTTGAGACTGGGCAACGTGACAGATATTCGGTCTGAATGACATTATTAGGTATTATTGGGAAATTAATATAGTTTTCTTATCACCTATATAGTAAAATAAATAAGTAAAAACATACATTTATTATTATATTATTACTATAATTTTAACAATTTACTGTATAAAATACATAAATACTACAAAATGACTTATAATACTTTGTATTAAAACGCATAATTCTTTTTCGGTTTCGGAAATGCATTGTTTGTTGTTTTTCCGGAAAAATATTTTATTTAATCATTCCTCTTTATTTTATGGATTATAAGAATTGTATTCGTGGAAAACTATTTGGAGAACGTGTGCATGTCTCCCCTCCGTTCATCCGGAGTACAAATCAAAGACATCTGTGTAGAGATGTACTTATTACAATATGACGCAGTTCCGAAGTATTGTAGAGTCAACATACTTTCTCGAATTGTAAACTCTTACAACTCGAGAAAAACATAAGCACCATATCAGAAATGACATATTTTTTCTCACCCCTAATGAGTTTAAAAGAAAAACCTTACAGGCACTCGTACATTACTTTTAAGTTAAACAGTTTTTTCTTTTTGATAGTTTTCTTATTTTTAACTTCCCAGTGGGAAGCTATTGTAATGGGTCCGATTTTGCAAATTGGATATTTTAACATATCTCCACGTTTCAAGGTCCTTAGAGTCGAATAGTATGGTTTTTAAGAGGATGTATATGTACGTATGTATGTATGTATGCATGAATGTTCGGATTCAATTTTCGCCTCGTGTATCTCGAGAACAAAGAGTGATATTGACATGGAACCAGTTTCATTTAACACATAATTATGTAATTTAGACCTTATTAAAGTAATTTTTTGTGCCGAATGAAATTTTTTATAAAATATTAAAACATATGATATTTTTTATTCTCTCCACTGCGAGTTAGTCGTGTGGACCTTTCGGGCCGCACCTAGACCGCTTTTAATTAAATATTGTGAAATCCAAAATATATTTTGGGTAAAACAAAAGTTTGATGTTGTAAAATGTTGCAAATGATACTTGTTTATGTTTTCTAGGTTCCTATTCTTAAAGCAAAGTTTTTTAATATCCATTACATACCATAATTTATAAGACTTTAGTGCACCATCAATAATGATTATTAATTACAATAATAATTATCTGTTTTTTTTTAAAGAAAGTAGTGGCAAGAATTATGAAAGAGTTAATATATAAAACTATTGATGATAAATCTACTTCTTATAATATTCGTAGACGCTTCGGCCTCTCTATAGAGTAGCTTATTTTCTAATGCGAATGATCTATCCATATCTCGTTCATTTTCATTTTTTGGTTCTAAACATATAGTCACCCTACCGTCCCAAATACTAGGACATCGCGGGGGCGGATATTGAAAGCAGTGACTTTTTAATCAAGGTATTTAGACTGAGCGTCAGCTGCCGAGGGTTTAAGCCGTTATTGCAAGTTCCTATTTAGAACAGAATGCTTATGAACGAAGTACAATGAACAAAGACTTAATGATAACAATGAAGTTGGGTCTTACGTTCTTTTTAGTAATATAGAACATTGAGACTTGTTTTTTTTTCTAAAACAGTAAAAAAATACTGCTGTGTATCGGTGTAAAGAGTATGTGATTATTAGGTTGTGTGGCATTCCATATTAAGTCCGCATATTAATGAAAATGCTATCGGCAAAAAGGGTATCTAGTTCACGTTGCTCTTTTTACGAAATACAGCAGTATTATGTTATTACTTGACGCTGGTATTCTGTAAGAGCATGGTCCTTCCCCGGTCGAGTTGACCCATGCGTACTGCATCCACAATATAGCTGTAGCTATATTGTGGATGCAGCACGCATAAGCGTTCTGTCCGCGGCAATTATGTAGTAGTGCTACGAGGTGCTACGAAATACTACGAGTGCTACTGGTGTTTGCGTTTCTGAAATTATTAACATTTTAATTGTATTGTTTTAGCTATCCTGCCATATCGTGAGGATGCTAACGCGCAAACTCGCGAGTTCCTTGCACGCGTCGTCGACGTACTGCTGGATTATGTTCAGAAAGTCAATGATCGGAATGAAAAGGTGGGTATCAAAAATATGTACGTATATCATCAAGTTTAAATAAAAGTAGAGCCAAGAATTTTGAACTCTTAATGCTGTTCTTCAAGTCTGACAAGTTCTGGCTTTAGTATTTATGGATGGATGTTTTCCATCCAAAAATACTCCGTCTCTAGAGTTTCGGTCACTATTCAGTAAAATTGTTAATACTTACCCTAACAGATACAAGATAGGTAATTCAATAGGATGGTAAAGGAGCACACATGATGGTGATGATGTGATAAGTGGATGCTATGGTCCAAACATACTGAGTGTACTGAATTTCTTGATAAAACACTAGTTTTGTAACAAGTCTATATAAGAAAGGGCAAACGAGCATGCGGCTCACATGATGGTAAGTGACTACCGCCGTCTATGATTTACAGTTCTGTAACACTAGGGGAATTGCAGTTGCGTTAACGGCCTTCTAAAAAGGAAGTAGGCTCTTCCTTTGGAGGTCCCCAAGTCATATCAGACCCGTAAAATTGTTGTTGCTAGCTGATTTCACAAAGCAGCCGTGAGTCGATAAAGCTTCTGATAAATCGCACAGAGGTAGACCGCCCATTATCCACATGGTATGGATGGTTTTTGCTGATTTTGTCGCGATGTGCATTGGTGAAATTTGGTGGCTCGAATAATGGATCTGAATAATTTCTCGGAGCACACTTCTTGGAAGATGCGATAGAATATGCAAAAAGTTGCAACAACTTATCGCAGCGCCTCTAGTCACGCCTCACATCGCTCAGGGAGAACTTGGTCGTTGATGATTTGGATCACTCTTCACTTGTTGCGGTCTGGTGTAATCTGTATGTACTGATATAGTGGCAAAACTTGGGAGAATTCCTTCCCGGATTGTTTAGGCCGGGAGAGGCCAATTGAGCGGTTCGGAGCAGTCTTTCGAGAACTTCGATAGCTTACGTTGCTGTTTGCGCTATTATGGTGCAATGACAGATAATTTAAAATGTTAAAATGTATTATTTTGGGAGTATTCTCTCAATTGTGTGCACTATCCCTAACACTACTACTCGCAACAACGCTATGCCGGTAACCGCAGAGTCTATTTCACCTGAAAATGCTTTTTTTTATAGTGACAAACGAGCACACAGTCCACCTGATGGTAAGTGGATGCTGTGGCACATAGACATCTAAATTTATCTTCAGTTATGAATCAAAATGCAGATGCGTTATCAACCCCTGACGACTGAGATGGAATGCCTCGTTTCCAGTAAAATGGGTCTCGCTTCGTTTAAAGGTGATCACGTTTCGTTTTATCAACGGTGGTATGTCTTTTCTAGTATTGTTAATAGTGGTGTCGGGATTAGTAGTGATGGGGATAGTGAGACAGGGTGAAATGTGCTCAACTAAGTAAGACAAATCATTTTATTTTATAAAGCGGATCTTAGCTAATAAACTTTCAACATCCTTAATGTAATGGATTTCTGCAAAGTAACGCCTGATTTTAATAATTTACAGATATTTTTTTTAATTATATGACATATTATTGACATTATATTTTATGATCCTCGCAGATCTTAGACTTCAAGATGCCAGAGGAAATGCAGAAGGCGCTAGATCTCCACTTGCCAGACGAACCCTTACCACTTAAGCAGCTCTTGGAGGACTGCAAAATCGCTCTAAAGAATCAAGTGAAGACAGGTAAACTTATCTTCTATTGTTAGCAGCGTAATGGTCGAGCACATTTTAAATCTAAAACAATTTCCATTAGTTGTTTTTGACAAGTCTACACAAGCACACAGTCCACCTGACGGTAAGTACATGCTGTAGCCTATAGAGATCTACAATTATCCCCGATTAAGAGTTATATTGTACATGAGTTGTCACCCCTGAGGACTAAGATTAAATGTCTCGTTTCCAGTAAAAAGGGTCTCCGGCTCTCTACACTCACACAATTGAGCTGCTATCTATCGCTGGTATTCTGTAAAAGTGTGGTCCTCACCCGGTCGATCCGACCCTTTTGTGCTACAACCATGATATAACCATGATATAGCTGAGTGATACTCTAGTAATCTATTATAAAAAATATTCTAATCTATTTTATCGTTATTTAACAAATTGATAACTTTCTACAAAATCTTCAGTTACACCACATCGGAAGCATTTAATTCTCAAATGCCATCCATTCCACCCAGGCGAGTGTAAGTAACGGCGCGCGATCATTTCGGGCCATTTGTGGACATAATTGAATTGTTTGATGCTATCCCGGGAGCGGGGGCGCGGCACAATGGCTTCTGATTACACCACGCGCGATGGGAGCCAAATTGTTGCAAACACTGTCCGCGTACGTGTTTCGAAACATAATTTCGCGTCATTATGCGTTTAGGAGCCGATCGCAAGGTCCCGGGCTTGAATTCCGGATCGGACACAAAAACAATTATTGAGTTTTTCTGTTGAGAAATTCTCGAATCCCGTTTCGGGCCATATTGGCCAACTCTCAGAAGCTGCCGGTGTTTCATCCCCGTACCTCGGAAAGCACGTTAAGCCGTTGTTTCTGCGCCTAACCTCTCTAGAGTCGTGTCGGATCACCGTCCCATCGGACTATGAGTGTGAGGAAATACAGAGTGCACCTGTGCTTGCGCATACACTCGGGCACTATAAACACTATACACTGTGGGTGTTGCGAGAGGCAGCAAAGAGAAACTGAAACTTAAGCACAATAGCAGCATCTTTCTGATGGCAACTCAAAATTACAAAAGAACTGCGATTGCCGCACCGGCATTGTTTTGCAACTAGGGCAATTACGCCCTATTGAACCCCTATTGAGGAATTATCCTTGTTGTCTATGTGTTTCTATTATATTTTACTTTTGTAGTGTATTTTTGTCATATTTAAAATCTCTAAAATTTCAAACAGAACAAAAGTCGTGACCTCTCAAGCATCCATTAGACGAAACAAAAGCTGCGCATCATCCGAGCGCGCTTTAAAACCCGTCCATGTGCGAGATTAGGGCGCGTACTGACGGCGCGTTTTCGTTCGGTCCGATTACGCGCTCGGCCGAGCGTCGCGTAATCGCTTGTCGGGCTGCGGGCGATGGGGCATCGATCTTGTGATTTCGAGACGAATCTCCGGGTTCTGCAAGAGAAAAATGATGCCTGTTCAGGACAGAATTATTGTATTGTGAGAGCCGCATAATTCAAGGACTGTGGCTTCACATATCTAGATATTTTTTGAAAAATTTAGAAACGCAAAATGCACTCACAGTAAAATTTATATTTTATTGAAGATAAAAACAAAATATCACTGAAATATTGGTTTTCATTCTTGATATACTGTAATTATGATCTTCAATTAAAATATAGCATTTGTTTCACTTTTAATGTGACACCATGGACCGCAACTGAGAATTTATTCAGAAAAGCTCAATAACTGATTTTAGGATGACCCGGGATTCGTAGCCGGAACCTTATGATCAGCAAGTGTTTCTCATATACACAAAATTAAACCCAATCGCAAAACAAATCTTAAGACTAGCATCTTTACAAGTTGGAGACTCACTTAGAAGGGTAAGCAGAGACTACGGACTTCCATTTAGCACGATCCTGACACATCTCTCTCGTCTTTCTCACGTCCAAATACCTAAGCATAAATGCTCGTCGGAAAAGGGTACTTTTAATTTGACCAATCTTCAGATCAATTAATTCTATATTAACATAGTGTGTACTTAATTTTCTTACGCTGTTTTTAGGAGTTAAATAATTAATTTTGTATTTTATATAAATTAAATTAAAAAAAAAATATATTTTCCCAATTAAACACTTGTAAATTAAAAGTTTGATTTTAGTAAAAAATATTAACAAATCACCGCCGTCTGTAATAGTTGACTGTGTCTGTAGATTGTACTTTTTAGTTTTTGTAGTTCCTTGTTAATAATTCCATGTTACCGTGTAGCGGCGGTATAAGAATATCCACTATCCCATATCATCCCGTGGGAGTCGTAAGAGGCGACAGAGAAAAAAAATCAGGAGATAGGCAGCAGAGTTTTCCTAATAACGACTAAAAATAAAAATAAACTGCGGTTGGCAAACCGTTTGACAAGGATGACAACCATGGGTGGGAGAGGTCATGATCAAAAGTGGACTTTAATAAACTGTAACGGTAGCAGTAATCCCGTGTTATATTCTGGAGTTTTCCATTAGCCCCGCTTCTCTAGTGTGACTGAAGGCAAGTTAAAATCCAGCAATTTATATGCAGAGTCAACCCCAGGCAGTAAAAACAATAAATGCGCTATAAAATCCACGTTGATTTACAAGTGGCTCTCTGCTGGCCCTAATATCACGCAAATCATTGGATTAAGCCACCGCTGTAGTGTGACTATGATTTGTGCTATTTGCTACCAGTCTCTGAAATATTACACTTGTTAAGTACGTAGCTCGTGAAGTATTTTCCAACGTGTTGTTTAATCAAATGGAATAAATTTAAATATTTAATAGAAAATTTAGCTTATAAAAAACTACTGCTACTGCTATATTTTTGTTATAGCACGAATGGGTCGGCTTAGCCGGGGAAGGACTACGCTTTCACAGAGTAAAATAGCAGCTTTATCCTACTGTGTTCCGAGAACCGGAGACCCTTTTTACTAAAAAAAAAAGCATTTCACCTTAGTCCTCAGGGATGACAACGCATCTGCATTTTGTTTCATAACTGATGATAGATGTATTTCTGTAGGCCACAACATCCACTTGTATAGAATAAGGGTGCATTCTATAAAAAAAAACACAAAATGTGATTTTCTCGTCTTTTAGAAACAGTAGAAGATAAAAAATTCTAATTTTATGTCAATAATTGAGTGGTTAGATGGAATTTCACAAAATAGTATTCAAGAATAGTTTTAAATAATGTAAAAGGAGCTCGTTAAAGAAAGTTGAGGAGAGTAACTATTTCGAATCATTTAACAAAACGTTCGAAACAACGTTTAAAAACTTTAACTTTGAATCGATTGTGTGTCCATTATTTCATAGTCAAAATCTAACATCAAAGATAATGTCAAAAATATTTTATCCAGTTTCGTATTATTTCAGGTTCTTATGAACCTCGTTGAACGAACGTTATTTTTTAAAAAAAAGTGTTAAAATTACATTTTATATACAATAATATTTCAATGAAATCATAATATTATTTATTACATTACGTTTTTGCAGTACTTAGTCCTGTTAAGGCGAGTGATTATAGTTACACTATCCGTACGCTTCCCTGCGTTAGCCCGTTCTATTGAAACCCGTATTAACATAGTTTGATGGATCATCCCCTTGTCTGTCTGTCCGTTGTTGAATACAGATTAGAATTTCCGCGTTATGGATTGATTTTTATAGAGTCCTCGGCTTTGTGGGATGAAGATTAGAATGGAAATAGTTTCATTCATATGCTGGTAGAGTAAATATTGATTCACGTACACCCACATAACAGAAATATTAACCGTGTAGTCTCAGTGTAAGAATATCCACTAGCTCGTATTGTCTCGTAGGTATCCTAACAGGTGAAAGAGGGAAACAACTGAAATTATAAAAAAATGCGATTGTCAACCCGCTTCCGAAGCATTACAACTAGGGCAAAATCACCTCTATAAGGCAGTCTATGGGGAAGGTCTGTGGTCAGCACTGGCTTTTTGTAATAATAATGAAGTATAATATTCATGTCAAATCGTTCACTTACTGAGTTCGTTTCAGTACACAGTTTGCAGTTGCGGCCGTGGAAGGAAAAGGGGGAGATCTCCCGCCGGGCAAGGTGTTATGCCCGGGCAGCGGCTCACACTCCGAGTGATAGTTCGGAGAAGTTCCATATATACTGTCTACGATTCGGAATGTTAATAGCGCGATTTAGGCTTCGGTGTGTTTCGGTGTGTGGCGCGACGACAGCGCCGCTACACAGTTAATTTGGTTCCGTTCATTGTGTAAACCGTTGAAATTTAATTATTAGGGTTTATACTCTGCTTGGTTATTGTTTTTTATGCTTTACATACATACTTATGTGAACTATGGTAAGTTCTAAGTCATTGTTTGCTTAATTTATGTTTATGTGTAGCAGCATGGGCGTAGAACCATTTCCTAATGTCTATCTTTTCAATCGGTTAAAACGTTAGTGATTAGTGTCTTGAGAACAACAAATAATTTAGCATCTAAGGCTATATAAAGCCTGGATGAATAATGGGATGATCATCAACGAGGACCTTTAACTGACGTTGAAGACGAACTTCAATAAAAAGTCAAGGTTAGGTAGAGGAAGGATTGGGGTAAGATTTCTTCAAACCCTAATTCTTCCTCGATCTCTCTCTATCTTTGATTCAAAATTCTTCGTTGAAAGAAGATTTCTTCGATTATTTTGATTGGAAGGCTGTATTCGATAAATTCGATAGATCACTCTTCAGATAATGTGTTTTCTGTTAAAACATATGAATACAAAACCACTGGTTTCTGCACACAACTTTCCGTGTTCCATGTGAAGTTAAAATAAAAACAACATGCTACTGATATTTATTATAAAACTTCTGTTAGTAAAAGAGCGCAACTAAGTATTGTTTATCAACAAATAAATACAATTCTGCATAACGGAAACGGCGCTACAATGGCGGCTGATTGCTGTCACTTTGACAGCGCGCCACGTGTCGGTTACCAAACACTACATATTTATTTATCGAAGAGTTT